ATATATGCAGGTTTTAAAGAAATAGGGATTAGTGAATTTGAGTTTGTGGCAAAAAAAACTTAGTTCCTTTCCTGACCAATCTTTTCCCCTATCAACAATAATTTTTTCCTCCAGAAATTAGAAATGTTTGCGCGGAGCAACAAAAAAACTGTAGGTTTTCATTTGCTGAATATTTGGAGATGAATTGAAACAAAAAGGATAAAAATATGCCTTTTGATATCAACTTTTTCTCCCCAGTTCATCAAAACATATTTTACCTCAGAAATTTTGAGAAAAAAGAATTTAAAAGGATGAAAACTTGCCTATTTTTATTTTGATTACCAAAAATATTCCCCCCCCCCTCGTACGCCCCTGGACACCTAAACATGTAAACAAAGAGAAGTTGTCAATAAACCACTTCTCTTAATTTAAAAAATGCTTGTTTGGGATCAAAGCATAAGAAATAGAAAGTCGTCTTAATTGTATTAATACAATCGCCGACTACTGTATAAAAAGAATTAAAATTTTAACCTAAAATCAATAAACTTATTTATTTCCGAAAAAAATGTCCAAATGTTTTGAAAACATTATAAAATCGTCCTACCCCTCTTGCAAATGTTTTTTTAATTCTTTAATAACTTCATAACTTAATAACTTAATAACTTAATAACTTAATAACTTAATAACTTCATAACTTCAGAACTTAATAACTTAATAACTTAATAAGTTGATTTTTTCAATTCTGTTTTATTATTAAATGTTTGCTTGTTAAATATATTCTTGTATAAATTTTGCCGATTAAGAACTTGACAGACAACATCTTGACAACATCTTGACAACATCTTGACAACATCTTGACAACATCTTGACAACATCTTGACAACATATTGACAACATATTGACAACATATTGACAACATATTGACAACATAATGACAACACATTGACAACATATTGACAACATATTGACAACACATTAACAACATATTGACAACATAATGACAACATAATGACAACATAATGACAACATATTGACAACAAATTGACAACAGATTTTATGTGAAACTTAAAAGATCTGTAAGCGTAATTCAAATGGACCCTCCATGCAAAGATGGCAATGCCTGACTTAAAAAATGTAAAATGTGAAATATACCAACTTAATCATACAAAGCTTTCCGTGGTAATGTTGTTAATCGGACATTGTTATATTTGCATGAATGGTCACTTGAAATAACGCTTACAGTCCCTTTAAAATGAATGATTTTGAGGAAAGCAGGAAAAAAAGTCTGAATCGATCGGATTGATTTGTCTGAGTGTTGTTCTGGTTTCTATTTATATTCTGTGGTTTGTTCTCACTCTCAAATACCATCTTCAGGTCAGAAAACTTTTTGAATCTCAATTCCCTTTAATAAATGCTTTTATCTGATCCAAAATGTAGAAGATATTGTCGTCTTTCTAGCTTGAATTTTAGAAAGATATTGTTAGGATGAAATCCCCGAAAGAGGATTATAAAATCCGCTTATCAGTAGTGTCAGTTTCTGGAACCAGAGAAGACTTATACTCATCTTTCTCTCCTTTAATACACTCGTTATTTACATTATGATATTTGTTTTTAGAATAAATAAATGTTCTTTTACAAAACCACATTTAAGAATAAAAGGCAAAATGATGAATATCAAGTGTATTTTCACGGATTTTATCCTAATTGTAATAAGACTACAATATTCTGTATTCTTTAGTTGTCAATAACCCCTGAATTTTCACGTACTAAATCCTAAACCTAATAAAAGACTACAATTACAATATTCTGTAGTCAGCTGCTGCTCCCAAGCAGAGCAGACCTCCTATGAAGGGCTGGGCGCGTCCCTGGTGGAACGATCGTTCTTTCCCGAGAACGAACGGAACGATCTAGAATGATCCCATCGTTCTGAAAATAAAACGAACGCTTAGAACTCGTTCTTAAAAAAAAAAAAACTTAAAATTTAGCTTAGTGTTAGAGAAGAAAATGTAAAAAATTAGTATTTTCTCAAATTTTCGTGGAACCTTTTAAAAGTTTAAAAACCGTCAAAAAATTTAAAATAACCAAATTATTCATATTCTATGGGACTTTTCAGGCGTAAATGCTAAAGCATTTAAGCATTCAATTTAAAAGGTTATAAGTTTAAATAGTGGATTTCGAGTTCAGTTTGTAAACTGTGTTATGTGTGTGAGGGTGTACTTATACCATTTACTTGAAGACAATATAAGCCCTGGCTATTATGGATTAGCTGATTGTTTGTTTGCTTGTTTCTGTACATTGTACTGTACACTGTCTGTACAGGAGGACAACTGTTACTATTTTTACCGCCCTTTGACAAACTTGCATTATCGACCCATGATAACTTTACGAAGTTCGCGCATTTTCATCTCAGAGAACGATAGAATTGTGTAGAACTACTGTTTCCGGAAATCAAAAATTTTAAATCACCGTGGGCTCCCTCGACCAATTTTGTCAACAAAACATCCCTCGCTGTGCTCTGGATGTTTTGTAAGCAAAATTGGTCGTGCTGCATAAACCCTTGGTAAAATAAATTTCCTTTAACTTTCCTCCAAAGTAGTTGTAAATAATTATTTTATCCACATGATGTTAATTGCGTAACATATTTCAGCAAATGAGTGGAGAAATCACCATGCGGGCCCACAGGTTGAATTTTTCATAATCAAAATTAAAGGGACTATGAGGGACTGTCAGGGTCAAAGTAATTTTAAGCTACCCGTTAATTGTTTTTCTTTCTCAAATGAAGTTTTTTTGAAACAAGTGGCCTGAGGATTTTTGCAGCAGAATTAATCTTTTTTCAAATTAATTAGAAAAGATGATATTTTCTTGGTTAAATGTCTAAAGGGTACCATTGTGGATCGAACTTCTCTTTAAAAATAAGGTCAATTTGAAATTGAGAAATGGATGAAAATCTGTTTTATGTTGATTTAAGTAATTCTTCCAGAACCAGACCAGCAATGAATCAACTTCTCCTGTTAAAGTCGTTGACATCTCCAACAACAGCTATGTCAACATAAGTCAGCTGTATTCAGAAACTCACCAGAAATATGACAGAAATCAGAATTCTGCCTCCTATCCAGACCAGAATCTGAAAGAGAAAGGATACAAGCTGAATTTTCTTGAGACAAGTAGGAAGATGCTGAACAGTTCTAAAACCCAAACAATTGGGGAAATCCAGAGTAAGTTTTTTTCTTTTTCATGATTTAAATTTTTCATTTTTTTTTACTTAGATACTTTAAGCTAAAGAGTTAATAGAGGTCGTGACTTGTAACTCCGCTCAAAAAGTACTAACCCTCATCTTTTTAGTCGCCAGAGTAACCCTATCCCTGCTGGGGTACTTAAAAATTAAGGTACACTTGGGGGATTAATTTGACCCAACCCCTTCTAATTCACATGTTTGATGTCCAAATATGACAAATGATGCATCATTTCAAGGCTTTTATGCTCCACTTTTAGAATCTGCAAAAAGATTTGCAAATTTGCAAAAATTGTAATTTTTGTTGCAAAATCCAGTTATATAGTAAAAATGTAGGCAACAAATAAATGCATAAAAACTGATAAAATATACATTTTTGATAAGTCCTTGACCAGGCCATTTCAAAAATGCAACAAATTTGCAAAATTTGAACTAACCTGATGCGTAATTAAGAAAAATCAAAAATGTGCAAATTTCTTTTGACGGGTTGTATGCAAAAAATTTACAAATTTTTTTTTGCAAAACTTGCGCAACCCGTTTTCTTTTGTCATAGGCTCTCCAAAAAGCTAAAAATTATCAAAATCTGACAACTTAAAGTGGGTGTGCCTGAGGACTCAGGCAGTTACTAAAGCCCGGTAGTAGACCTAAAGGGAGGGATACGGGTATTTAGGAAAAGTCAGAAAATTTCAACAGCCTCANCCCCCCCCACCCCAGCAGGAATAGGGTTAAGTTAATTCCTTCCTGCAATTTTTCTGAAGGTCAATGCAAAACATGAGTTAGCTGTTTTCACCTAACCGTCAAATCATAAGTGTCCACTGTAAATATCGAGTATTAGATTATCGCCACTTAACACAAGAGTTCCGTCCTTAGATCTGGATTAACTAATCTTCAACCTAATTAATTAATTTCCAACCCCAACATATTATTCTAGATGTGATAATTTAGCGGTAGAGTCCTTGCTACAAACTCGAATTTTCGAATCCCTATATCTTTGCAATTTCAACCAGATGGTGTAAATTTTATATTTCAATCTTGGTTCATTTTATCTAATAGAGTTCATAGTTAAACAGTGCAAGAAAAAAAAAAACTGTGATTATCGGCGTCTGGAGCGAAATTGTATTTTTTTTGTACAACCTTCCAATATTTTTGGGAATTTTTTTTTATACTCGCAATAGACAAAAAAGTATGAGCGAAACATTTTTCTTTCAAAATTAAAAGTTTAGAACGTCAAAAATGTGTATATGTATGTATATTATTTCTATCAAATTCTAATATTTCAAAAATATTGAAACACAGAATCACAGAAAATTTGCCAAATTATAAGAAGAAAATTCGCAATTTTTAGTTCTGGTCGAACTTTTAAGGAAATGTTGTTTTTCAACTGAACAGCGTATATTTAAAGCTTTAAAATTACTAAGAAGAAAGAAACTAGAGGATTTAAAGAACTTTTCCTTTACTGAGCTTTTAATTTTGAGAGAAAAAAAGTTATGCTGATTTCTTTGGGCCCCCAATAAATTAATATTTCCAAAAAATATTTTTAAAAAAACATGAGAGTTGTACAATTTTGCACCAGACGCCGCTAATCCCACTTTTTTTTGGACTCACCCTGTACATATCTAAGGTCTACAATATTGGGTTGAATATGATATAGGGATTAGAAAATCAGAGTTTGTATCCAAGACTCAATTGCTGTGAATTAGACTTTTTCTTTGAATCAAGGAATTAGCAGGAATTACCACATACCTGTAATGTACTGCAACTTCTTGAAAGAAATATAAACAAACTCTAAGCTGCTCTGGCTTAGCTTGCTTATGTTTGTCTCATAAACTGCTGTACAATTGTAAACAAATGGAGGTTTACTGCAGTACAGTTGTAAACAAAAGGAGGTTTTCTGCAGTACAGTTGTAAACAAATGGAGGTTTACTGCAGTACAGTTATAAACAAATAGAGGTTTACTGCAGTACAGTTGTAAACAAATGGAGGTTTGCTGCAGTACAGTTGTAAACAAATGGAGGTTTCTGTGCAGTATCTACCTTTTTGTTTTGAATACAAAATAATCTTGCCACAATAACAAACCATTGAACAAATTTGAAATAGGTCCTCTCAAATAAATATTCCAGCTTTATGGTTTTCATGATTTTTTTTTTTGGAGATGGTTTTCATTAGTTTCATTATTTCAGAAATAAACTGTCCCAGTACTAAGACACCCTCAGGACAGGAACCAACAAACACTCTAGCCAAGATGTTAAGTCCAAAATACCTCTCTTCGTTTGGGGATGTAAGTTCCAAGATCTATATTAGACAACAGATTTTTAAGAAAGTTTTTCCACAACATTTTTACCATGCAAAATTAAATTGTTACATTATTTCACCGATTGTACAATAGCAATTTGGTGTTGCACTTGAAATCAAAGAACTTAAGAATTACGGTTTTCATGCGCAAAAACTTTTTTATTCAATTTTCGAAAAGTAATATTTAACGGGATGATACACAAAAACTTTTATTATTCTCCATGAACACTTGAAAATAATTTTTTGTCATACCAATATTGATCTATAGAATTGATCTATAGAATTGATTAGTAGAATTGATCTATAGAGATGATCTATAGAAATGATCTATAGAATTGATCAGTAGAATTGATCTATAGAATTTATCTAAAGAATTTATAATTATGATCGTTTATCAGCATGTTAATTATGGAAGAGACCCACGTCTTAGTAACACACCAACATGGAAGCCAGCATTATCTTCAGGTTATATTTTTTTATTTCTTTGATGTTTTTTAATAATGATGGAATAGTTTTTAATTCTTTTAGATATTTTTTTAATATTTACGTTTGATAGTTTCTGATAAAAAGAGCGAGACAGCCAACAATTCCCAGCTCATATCAGATAGTGGCCATTTTGAATCAACAGTCGGCGGACATTTTGTACCTGCAGAAGAAAGCCCTCAGCTGATTTCAACATCGTATTTACCTAATATACCTGGCAAACCTTTGAGTCCTACCGTGAAAACAGTAACCTCTACACCCTCACCCAACTCTAAACCCTATCTAAGGTGAGGAACAATTCAATATGAAAAAAATCCATTTTGGATGGATTATGGTCATTTTGGATAGATTTGACCTTTCAATTTATTTGTGTAAAAGTTGACTGTGAAATGGCTGGAGCTCACGTGAAAATATTATTTTTCAATAAACTTAACTTTGGATAAAGTTCACTTTGGATAAAGTTCTCTTTGGAATGATGGTGTAATGTATATGGAATATGTTTAGGAATGATGGTGATGTATATATGGAATATGTTTAGGAATGATGGTGTAATATATGAGGAATATGTTTAGGAATGATGGTGTAATATATGAGGAATATGTTAAGGATTGATGGTGTAATATATGAGGAATATGTTTAGTAATGATGGTGTAATATATGAGGAATATGATTAGGAATGATGGTGTAATGTATATGAAATATGTTTAGGAATGATGGTGTAATATATGATGAATATGTTTAGGAATGATGGTGATGTATATATGGAATATGTTTAGTAATGATGGTGTAATATATGAGGAATATGTTTAGGAATGATGGTGTAATATACGAGGAATATGTTTAGGAATGATGGTGTAATATATGAGGAATATGTTTAGTAATGATGGTGTAATATATGAGGAATATGTTTAGGAATGATGGTGTAATATACGAGGAATATGTTTAGTAATGATGGTGTAATATATGCAGAATATGTTTAGGAATGATGGTGTAATATATGATGAATATGTTTAGGAAGGATGGTGTAATATATGATGAATATGTTTAGGAATGATGGTGTAATATACGAGAAATATGTTTAGTAATGATGGTGTAATATACGAGGAATATGTTTAGTAATGATGGTGTAATATATGCAGAATATGTTTAGGAATGATAGTGTAATATATGATGAATATGTTTAGGAAGGATGGTGTAATATATGATGAATATGTTTAGGTATGATGGTGTAATATATGAGGAATATGTTAAGGATGGATGGTGTAATATATGATGAATATGTTTAGAAAGGATGGTGAAATATATGATGAATATGTTTAGTAATGATGGTGTAATATATGAGGAATATGTTTAGTAATGATGGTGTAATATATGAGGAATATGTTTAGTAATGATGGTGTTATATATGCGGAATATGTTTAGGAATGATGGTGTAATATATGAGGAATATGTTTAGGAATGATGTTGTAATATATGAGGAATATGTTTAGGAATGATGGTTAATATATGAGGAATATGTTTAGGAATGATGGTTAATATATGAGGAATATGTTTAGGAATGATGGTGTAATATATGCAGAATATGTGGCTAAACCATCAGAGAAAATAAAGGTCAGCATAGTATAGCAAAAATAAAGATTTAATTGTGTTTTTCTTATCAACTTTATTTTCAGTAAATATTCTATTTAGTGGAATACAAGAAATGTTTCTCTTTTAAATTGAAATGCTTGAACAGAAAACGTTTTAGGCCGAAAAACTCTCTGTTAGCAAATCTTTCCCCCTTCTTATGATAATTACATTTAAAGGTTACTATTTTTGAAGATTCACAATGAAGACTCATATCATTTGGAACTATAACTCCTTTCTGTAAAATTTTGTATTCTTGTGATTTAGGATGTAGAAATTACAGAGGATGATTTGGATAAGAATGAGGATGAGAAAGAGGATGATAGAGAGGATGAAAGAGAGGATGAACTTGCGAAAATGTCAATAGCTCAACGTCGAAAAATCCTCGAAAACGCTTTTATCAAGGTTTCATTTCTATTTTTATTTAAGAATTCTGAATTTGTATTTATCATTGATAATTAGGATCCATTTAATTTTGTCGATATCTGATTAGTCCTAATAAAGTTCAATTAATTACTTAAAATTAAGAAATATTTGTGGATATTCTTTTGATTTATTTTTGCATAATTTGTTCACATTTATGATTTGAGAGTAGTAACAAACTTTACTTTGTATGATTTCGTCAATTTTCTGTCAATAAAAATACGGATCCGTGGATTATCATACAGTGAGAACCAGAAAACTGTGTAATTCCCAATCTTGTATTTGTTTATATGAAATGTAACTAAACTAAGAACAGCTGCATCAATTCGAAATTGCATAATCCGCGGCGACATTTCTAAGGTAAACGAAATATCTCTGCTTCTCACTGTGTTTTCTGCTTCTCACTGTATTTTCTGATTCTCACTGTTTTTTTCTGGTTCTCACTGTATTTTCTGGTTCTCACTGTGTTTTCTGGTTCTCACTGTGTTTTCTGATTCTCACTGTATTTTCTGATTCTCACTGTATTTTCTGGTTCTCACTGTGTTTTCTGGTTCTCACTGTATTTTCTGGTTCTCGCTGTATTTTCTGGTTCTCACTGTGTTTTCTGGTTCTTAGTGTATTTTCTGGTTCTCACTGTATTTTCTGGTTCTCACTGTATTTTCTGGTTCTGTATTTGCTGGTTCTTACTGTGTTTTCTGGTTCTCACTGTATTTTCTGGTTCTTACTGTATTTTCTGGTTCTCACTGTATTTTCTGGTTCTCACTGTATTTTCTGGTTCTTATTATAAAGCACTGGTTTTAAATAGCACCACCTTTAAGGAGAACTTTGAGCTGAGTTAAAAACATTTTAGATTTCATTTTAGAAACTTTTCTTGGGCAATAAATTATTCAACCAGGAATCCGGAAAAAATGTATTTTAAATTTTTTTTCTAGCCAAGAAGAGAAATTAGAAGAAGAGCAAGGTTAGATTTTTAAATTTTTAAAATTTTTAATTTTTCATACTTCTTTTCATAAGATCGATACATATTGTATAATAAATAATGATATCGAATATATATACATATTTACACTGAAGGCATTATTGATTAAAGCTTTTTTATGGAACTTTTTTAGTTAAGGGCAAAAGTAAGATTTTAAAGTATCTTTTTTCTATGATGTAATTATACTTAAATGAAATACATGCGTAATTTCAAGTGACCCTCCATTTATTGAGTAGCATGTCCGATCTTGAAAGTCGACTTTGCGCTCAAACTCGGTAAACTCATTAAACCGTTTTATATGTTTCAAAAAAAAATTTCCCACAATACTACATCCTTAGTTCAAGTATTATACATTGCCGGTCACTCCCTTTAAATGAAAAATTTAAACATCTTAATATTTTGATATTATATTATTTTTAGCTGTGAAGATAGAGAAGAAATTAACACAGCAGAAGAAAATAGGTTAAGTTTAAAAAAATATAATTAAAGAATTAAGAATCTTGTTATGACAAAATCATGAATTCCATTTCATGCGATTTCCTCCTATGATGATGATTTTCTCTGATTCTTGATGTATAGATCATTATTATAAAAACAAAACCCAAAACTTTTGAATATTTCTAGTTCGCCCTGGCACGGGAATAAGCCGTTTCTCCTTCCGGGTATACAGGTTGGTCTAAACTCATAGAAACTGGAATAAAAGTCGTCTTTGTCTGGTCTTGAAATACAAAACGTTTTTATGAATTTTTAAATTGAATTACGACTAGCACTTCAGGGTTACACACAAAGGATGAGACTGATGGAGACGATTGAACGGAATTCAGGATTCTTTTCAGTTTTGTGCTTATAAAACATTTAACACACTATTAAAATACTAAATTAAAGACAGACACCAACAATTAAGCTTTAAATTGATGATATTTTAAGCGTTTTGGGTCGTCTTTACAGTCTCATCATTTTGGGCAACCCTTTATCCAAATATCTCGATCTGAAAGTTTAATAAAACATTATTTTGTTATTTATAATAAACAATGTGAGACTGTCACAGAAATAAAGAAAGCAGCTCATTTGTCAAGCAATACGACAGAATAAAATCTAAAATGTCGCGTGTAATGTGAGCAACCCTGTATTGTTTATAGAACCAGCTTAAACAATATACAATTTTAAATTTGTTTTTTTTATATTGTTTTATTTTTCAGATTCGACAGGGAGATCAAGTGGGCCGACATGAAGACCACGTGGGCCGACATAAAGACCACGTGCACCGACATGAAGATCACGTGCGCCGACATGAAGATCACGTGTGCCGACATGAAGATCACGTGGGCCGACATGAAGATCAAATGGGCCGACATGAAGATCACGTGCACCAACATGAAGATCACGTGGGCCGACATGAAGATCAGGTTGGTGGATATGCAGAATAAAGATCATCTATGCTATCCTGCCGATCCGCTATACCAGGATATTTTTAGTAAACTCACAATAAATGAATTATGTAATATGACTTAACATGAAACTGTAATGGTTTAAAACACATTTTGATTTTAATTTATCAACAAATATATTTTATTTATTTTGTGTTAATCTATCAATTAGTTCAGTAACTTGAATGTGCAGTTCATTTCATTAACAATACAAAGAACCGATTTGAATTAAATTAAATTATCTTTCAGCTTACAGGACAACTCATGTTCGATTTGAAAACGACGACATTTAATGATTTGACAATCAAGCTCTGATTGTTGACTCTTAGTTATATTACATATCATGATCGGTTAAAAGGTTTCTTGTTAAATTTACGATTTAAATTTTGCTTTTCAGACTTTAAATTTTTTTCCAATCCGAAAAAGAACTTGCCGTTCGGAAATTATCTCGAGATTTTTTAAAGGCGTTAACAGTAAAGATACAGGGTTACCCACAAAATATGAGACTACAGAGTCGACTGTTAAGGATTAATACTGTCAGTTTCAAGGAGTATGAAATAGAAGGCAGATAAACTGATGCGGCCCGCCCTACCATATAATTATATATATGCTTTGCAGACGGGTACTCCATTTGAATAAGAAATGTTTGTCTGATGTACAATTACCGCGTATACAATAACCTATTTTTGATATTTCTGACACAAATGGAGTACCCATCTGCGAAGCATGTATATTGTATATTCAAATGGTAGGGCGGGCCGCGTCAGTGTATCTCCTTTCTATTTCATACTCCTTTGTCAGTTTCCTTATATTTATGATTTGCTGTAACTGTAAACTTGTTTCTTTCTTTGTAAAAAAAACCTTAAAAAGATGGTAAAAAGGCACCAGACTAAATTTAACCAAGTGCAACGAAATATGACAGTTGGTGAATAATTTAAAATGTCTTCTTCCATAATTACTTTAGTTGTTTTAAATAGTGAATCCCAAATATATGAATACATAACAAGAGTTTTAACGCGAGTATCGTTGATATTAAACTGTGTGGGAACTTTTGAATTTGAGGATATTTTAGAGTAAAATTGATTTGAAATGTAAAATATATTTTGGTAAAAAACTTATTGAACGAAAAAAAATGCAAAAAGTCTTTAGTATCTATTGCATGCAGTATATGGAAGAAGACATTCCAAATTATTTACCAACTGTATACTGTATACCGTATACTGTATACTGTATACTGTTGGGACACACTATGAATACCTAGACCGTCTGAAGTTTTTTGATAATTCTAAAGAAACTTTTTATTTTAAATTCAAGGTAAATAAATATCCCTGAAATATGAATGCAATTGATATGTTAATATTAAACTCATTTTTCCGCGGCATTTGACCTTAAATATGTAATACGACATTATAAACTCTTGCTATGTATTCATATATCTGGGATTCACTGTACTATATTTGATATTAAGACTTTTTTGAGTTATTTTTGTTAAAAAAAACTTTAACCCGAATTTATTTTACTCTTAAATTAATTTTATTATAATATGAATGCTATGCGTTTTTTTAAATTATTTTCTATGAAAAGTATCAAAGAAATTTACAAATTATGTCAGAAGACATTTAAAACTATTTTAACTGTCAATTTTCACCTGTATTTCGTGGAACACAAACCCATAAAAATTGATTAAGTTCTATTTAGGCAAATATCCTAATTGCATAATAAGCAGTTAATGCAGTTTTAAAACTGCATTCCAATCTTACGCAGACCTTTAAGACTGGTTCTCAGGGCGTTTTCGACACTATTGCATTTTAGATATAGTAGGTGCAACTTTTGGGTGGGGCGATGTATATATCTCCCCCCCTCTTGAACTGCAGGACATCATGCTAATAATAATATCCGGGTGAAACTATTTAATCAAAATTGTCATACCAACACATTGAGAACAATATGATTGTTGAACAAAGAAGACGACTTATAGTTGAGTTATGATATTAAGAACATGAAATGATATAGTTGAGTTATGATATTAAGAACATGAAATGATATAGTTGAGTTATGATATTAAGAACATGAAATGAACATGAAGCACAATAGTTAGGCATTACAGTTGTCTGTTGTTATTTTTGCAAAACAGATTTTCTAAATATTTAGTCAAATCTGGTCCGGATTTACACATTTTCAAAATTTGCGAATCTAAATAGAGCTCAACCCGATCATGTCTAATTCGTCTAATAGCTATATGATATTATGTTGATTGTTGAATTATACTGAATACTAGCAAATAGATTATCAAGTACAAGAGGTGGCAACAGAGAAATGGATCAATTAACACGACGTCACAGTGTCAAAATAAAAAAGTGTTAAGACAGAAACTAAAGAAAACATAAAATTGCACTTGTTTTACTGGAAGATAAACACTTTAATCTAAAATAATCACTATTTATAATAACTTGGTTGGACACATACAACTGTTGACACTTGTGACGTCAGAATACAGCTGTACTAACAGTGTACAAATTCTACGTTGCCATCTATTGTACTTGACTCCTATATAAATACTAGCATTGCATTTTCTAATCCCTAGATCTTATGAACTTAAAATATTAAATTTTGATCTTAAAAAATTCATATTTTTAAATATCACAGGTCATGAGAATTCAAGTGTTCAAAGATGGAATTAATGGTATTTCTACAGTCTGCAGGGAATGATTACTACGGGTCTACATAAGGAGATCAATGATGAATCCCTTAATTAAAGGTATTTCTACAGTCTGCAGGGAATGGTCACTGCAGGTCTACATAAGGAGATCAATGATGAATCCCTCAATTAAAGGTATTTCTACAGTCTGCAGGGAATGGTCACTGCAGGTCTACATAAGGAGATCAATGATGAATCCCTCAATTAAAGGTATTTCTGCAGTCTGCAGGGAATGATCACTACGGGTCTACATAAGGAGATCAATGATGAATCCCTCAATTAAAGGTATTTCTGCAGTCTGCAGGGAATGATCACTACGGGTCTACATAAGGAGATCAATGATGAATCTCTCAATTAAAGGTATTTCAGCAGTCTGCAGGGAATGATCACTTCAGGTCTACATAAGGAGATCAATGATGGATCCCTGAATTAAAGGTATTTCAGCAGTCTGCAGGGAATGGTCATTACGGGTCTACACAAGGAGATCAATGCTTAATCCCTCAATTAAAGGTATTTCAGCAGTCTGCTGGGAATGGTCACTACAGGTCTACAGGGTGTCCCACATCAAATAAGACCGCGTCAATGAGTCTAAATTACGATTTGGGGGACAAATCAGAAAATTTAAGAAGAATGAATCATTTTCAAAAATTTAATAAGGCTAATAGAATTTTTTTTTTGCAAAAAATGCTAGATTTTTCGAGTATCATGTGCGTATTTTGGCGCTAAAGATTGGAGATAATCTCATATGATATGGGACGCTCTGTACATAAGAAGGAGATCAATGATGAATCTCAAGATTTAAAACAAAAATAACCACACGAGTTTAAATATGTAATATTTTATTGATAAATTTCTATGAACATGTTTCTATGTACACATTTGATTATATATATTGTATATATGCAAGGTGCAATAGTCTGGTGTTGGGGGGTTCAATATCAGATTTTAGGTTGGGAGATATGTAATTTGTATCAAGTGCTGCATTATATATAATTATGACATTTATAAGTATTTTGTGACATTCTTTGTCTGTTTGATGAGTACATCGCTGGATTTATTGACATGAAAGAATTTGTAAATAGTAAATAAAGTAGAAATAATAATTAATCTTTTCCCAGGCACTACTGCATAGATTTATAAGTTTGTACCAGTAAATTCCAGTTTTTCTTGATAAATGCATTCTTTAGCACTTTTCACAAGGAACCTGAGGTGTAAAGAAGAAAGACGATTTGGAAAATAATTTTCACTTTCTAAAAGTTTATGAACTTTCCGATTCCTGCCTTTTCTCGTCTTCAATCTCACGCTGCGCTCTAGATATCTTAGCTTTCTCTGTTGGAGTGTTTTCCCCCACCTAAAATATAAAGAAGTTTATCATTTAAAAATATAGTTTGTAAACTGATATCTTTTAAAAGGCAAAGGAAAGTTTGTGCCTGGTTAGGATTAAAAATGTCATTCCGAATTCTATGTTTTTAGAATTATGAAAAATCACCAATATGATGAAGAAATATTGATATTGTTTAACATTGTATAAACTACTCACAATCACTAGCCACACAGGTTAAATTTAATATTTCATAATTTGCATTATTTTATATTATCCGAGTGTTACTTTAGAGAATTTGCATTATTGAGGTTTTCTAATAACGAAGCCGACACCTTTTCATATTTTGCAGTTGTTCGAAAATCCAGTTCCAGTCGTAAAAGAAAGGTTTTCAACGAAAATTTAGTTTCAAAACAAAATTTTAAAAATATTATGAAATATTAACAAAATTCAGAAGATGAGAAAAAAATCCGAAACTAGATTAACAGTATTACATTTAATTGAATATTGATATGGGCTCTTCGCTATTGGGCATTATGCGTTTTCATTTTTTACGAACACTCCCTTTAAGATCATTGCCATAATCATGGTCGACGTCCATAGTCAATTTACTGATCAAAATAATTTATACCTCGGCGGCGAACAATCTCATTTTCTCTTTAAATGAGAGTTTAGCCCCATCTGTTGGTCTAACAGCGCTCAGTTTACGCTCCTGCTCCTGCTGTAACCGTCGCTGTCGGGGATCCCTAACAAAAATGAAACTTACAAACTCTAATTTTCAAATCTATGTTAACAACCCAATGTTGCAGACCTTGGATATTTCAAACTATGATTCTAGTAGATTAAATAATATAAGTTTAAAATATCAAGGGTTACATCATCAGGTTGAAAAGATATAGGTATTAGATAAGCTAAGTAATTCCTAAATGATAAAAATTGATAAACACGTTTCGTCATATGACCGATTCTATTTTGATTAATTTAAACATTGAAAAATTTAGATAATTTATGATAAATATGTTTTTACCTGTAGACCTCTTGAGTTCCAATAACTGAAGGATTATGCCCTGATGAACTTGTAAAATCTAATTTACCTGTAGACCTCTTGAGTTCCAATAACTGAAGGAGTATGTTCTGATGAACTTGTAAAATCTAATTTACCTGTAGACCTCTTGAGTTCCAATAACTGAAGGAGTATGTCCTGATGAACTTGTAAAATCTAATTTACCTGTAGACCTCTTGAGTTCCAATAACTGAAGGAGTATGCCCTGATGAACTTGTAAAATCTAATTTACCTGTAGACCTCTTGAGTTCCAATAACTGAAGGAGTATGTCCTGATGAACTTGTAAAATCTAATTTACCTGTAGACCTCTTGAGTTCCAATAACTGAAGGAGTATGTCCTGATGAACTTGTAAAATCTAATCGTTCTAATCCATGAGTTGCCGAGTTTAATAAATTCTCAGCTTCATTTATAAATGCCTAAACATGCAAAAATATATATTTTAAAAATGTAGAACCTTTGTAATTAAGAATTTACAGGACGCATAATTTGAGTCAAATGTTCACTAAAACCAACTAAAACCCAATCAAAGATATACCACTCAAAATGTGTAAAAAACTATTATTTCTGGAAAAATGCAAGTGTTGTTGATCGCTTTAGATCATTTTCAGAAAAAAATTCAATAAAACTTTCAAGATTTTAAAATGTGTTGAAGTTTGCTTTTATTAAACTTTGCAATATCTTAATCCAAAATAACAAGTAAAAGTCAGTTTCTGAATAGTTTTTGGCTTTTTTAACATATAATATCGTCAACCAAGATCATATTTTCACATACTGAAAGAAGGGCGTTTGTTTAGAATAAAAAGTTAAAAAACAATTTACCAAATTTTGACCATGAAAGAACATAAAGGCAAAACACGACCGGAATCATATCATCCGAAAGCACATCACTATTTACTATGCAGTAAACACTATAATCACTATATGAACATCACGGGAAATAAAAGAGGAATTGAATTTGTTTGTAGATATGCAGTAAGATAAAGATCAGGTTTGATTCACAAAAAAACGTTCTAACTTAAGATCTCACTGATTAACATTTTTTTAACAATGAACATAGGTTTTCTTGTTTACAATTTCTTCTTGCATGTATTTATATCTAATTTCTAACTAAATAAATTTCTACTGTATTTTTACAGGATACTATTCTGTTGGGTGTAGAGATATCACATGAATTAAAGAAGAGATATCACAAAAATTACAGAGAAAACTCTGGAATAGAAATAAACATTAAAGCTTGTACTTGATGTTTCAAAAAATATGTTTCTGATAACTAATTAAATCACTTATTCAGTAAAATGAATCTGTTTACTCTACACAATTGCTGTGGCTTATTTTTATCGGAAGTTTAAAAGACTTTAACATCTGTCTAAAAGTCGTCTTCCTATTCCGGAGTTATCACTGTACAACTTGTGCTGGTTTGTTACCTTTAAAGATGATTCAATTTCCCTTTTAGATGTTCTCTTTGAAAATAATCAAGATTGACTTTTCATGAAATTTAAACTGATTTTATTACTTGATAAAATTGTATGATACAAGATTACCGAATAGCATTAGGCTTTAGACTTTAATAACGACCTCTTAACTCTAAAAAAAACAGGGTTGAATTCAATTTTAAGACGTAGTATTGTTTTTTAAATATAATTTATTAGCCAAGATGGGGTAGGGTATCAAGCAGTCGTCTTAGCAATCTCATTTTATGTGAGTAACCCTGTATGAACAGAATTTCAATTTATTACTTACATTGGGATCCTCAGATCTTTCTTGTGAGGTTGCTCTTTCTTCATATTTATCCTCAACATTGTTCTCGATCCTCCTGTTCTCCTCCTCCATGTAACTACCCTCCTCTTTCTCCTCCTCCTCCTCCTCCTCTTCTTGTTCTAGGAAACTGACCCGTGCTCTGACTTCATCATCGTTGAAACTGACACGCTTGGTTGGCGTGTTAAACTCCTTCCTGGTAGGAATAGGCTCACGCTTAGTGGGCGTTTCTGCTCTAGCCCGCCCTTGCCCATTACCTAGAGATAGGAATTTTACTTGAAAATAAAGAACAGCCAAACAACTTTTTTTTCAGTCTTAAAGGGACTGTATAGTGTATGTGTAATTTCAAGTGACCCAAAATACAAAAATGGCAATGTCCAATTCACAATAATACCATTGAAACCATTTTCTGATTAATAATGTGAAAGATAATGTCGTTTTTCTGAGTTTAATAGTATTTAATGGTGTATAAATCATATATGTTTTTATGTAGGAGAATTGGGCAAGTCACTTTCGTAAAGAAACCGCCATTTTTGAAAATAATGATTTTTCAATATTATAAACATAGATATCTGATTCATACTTGATCAGACAACAAAACTATAAAGTATCGTTGGGATTCGGGCATTGCCAACCTTGCCTGGAGGTACATTTGAAATTACAGTTACAATCCCTTTAACATAATTCTCCAAAAATAAAATCCCAGTAAGCTAAGGAGGAAGTTTATTCATGTAAACATAAATGATTGAATGCGCTCAAATACCGCAGTCAGATTTTTTTAAACTGAAATTCATAGAAAAAAAACGAAGAGATAAATGAGCAAAATTTCCCTTCAGAGAAAATCGGAATTAAAATCGTCCTTGTTCAATGTTAAAGTTTAAAAAAGAATATTTTATTTATTTTTATTCAGACAACACTTCAGAGGGTACTGTATTGTGAATCTGACAAGCTACTAAATAAATAGAGAGACACTTAAAATTACGTACACAGTCTCTTAGACTCTGTTATTTTCCATCAGATCAATGATTGACAGTTATAAATCTTCTATTTTTCTATTTTAAATTCAAGGAATACGACTTTAAGTTTAGTTTAATCAGCTCAGAGGCTATCCCTGTATTATTGTGAATCATTTAAAGAATAATTTTTAATATTTTGAAGGGGTATTAGTTAGTTTTTTTTTCATCCCTTTTTAACATCTTTTGACATTTTTGTTGCAATCCGCAAACATTCCTAACTTCGGGAGTAAAAATATTTTCAAAGAGAGGGGAGATTTTTCAAGAAAATATGCACCCCTGTCTTACCTAAAAGCATATCCAACCTAGCAGCACCGGCCAGAGGCGGGGTAGCTAGTGGAGGCGGGGAGATAGGTAGAGGTGGCAGGGGTTGGGAGGTGGGTAGAGCAGGTAGAGGTTGGGACTGCTGGCCCCGTCTCTCATCTTCTAGCCCAGGGATCCCACCGTTCCGTTTAATCGTAGATATGTTTGGTTCATCCTAAATATACAGACGTTTACTTTTTTGAAGATAATGTTTAACATACATTGGTCGGCGTTTATATCAATGCTGTTATTTAAAAACATGTGTTTCCATGCTCTTTAAAAGCTTAATAAAAATTAAAATTGAAATAAAAAATCGTCTTCATTGTATTGATATAACTGACAACTATAGTTGGTGATCATAAAATATTTACAAAATTATATTGTTGACATATAACGAACTAAAGAAAGCATTGTATGAATTGAGCTTAAATATGCCATGTTATATTAAAGTTAGTACCCTAGTGACTAATTAGTAAAAGATTAAATATCTAACAAAAACTTGCTTCTTGTGCCAAACATAAACCTGCTCCTGAAATGTAGAGACACACTCCTTAATGGAACTAACTCATGTATTAGTATTATTCACAATTTTTTTAAATTTAAATTATTTGAACTATTTTTTTTACTTCCTTTATTATATTTTCAAAAATTGAAAGGAGTAAACAAAATATTATTTTTACTATTTATCAAAACATGCATCTTATCAGATACGATTTTTTAAAGAATATTTTCCATACTTTTTGCCCACACAGCGATATTAGTTTATTTACACTGTTAGAATTGGTTTAGTGGAAAATAAGTTAACACTTTATTCTAAGCTTTGTCACACTGCCCGTGATCTTTAAATCAACATTGTAAAAAAGCGACATTTAGTTAAGGTATTTGTGCAAAGGAGACGCTTCGAAAAATGCTTTAACTCAGAATTGCTTCTAGAAAATATGGCAGCTTTCTCCTCCTGTGGCATCCTTGAAATTATTTCTGGATTGAAGGTATTAATTCCTCTAGTTCAGTTTAAATTATCAGGGAAAAGAAAACAATAATTGACACTCAAATTACCAACTAAAGTGCTGAGACAAAATGTCGTCTTTCTTTATAACGCAGCTTTAACGATCATAGGAAGCAGTGCAGGGGTCCATTTAATTCCATCTTATTTGATCCTAAATATTGATTGATTGATAAATTACATCTTTTATGCAGTACACATTTGGAATCAAAATGGAATTATATGGACCCCTGATTAGCAGTGTGCTGTCTTACATCACTGTCTGAGTATTCCTCTATCCTTCTTCGAAACTCCTCTTCAACTCGACTTAGTTTCAAATCCTATAGATCAAATGTCAAGGGACTGTTCACATTTTAAAAATTCCCCGTTTTACAATTCCTCCGCGGTGTTTATCTTTATGAAGTAAGTCAATTCCCCCTTAATTTAAATTTCTTTTTATCTGACAAGTAAAACATAACAATACACTTGTAAGACCTTTGTATTTTGACAAAAATATAGTTCTAACCTGAGATGGATCCTGAAATCTGACTCTGTTCTGACTTGGTTTATTTGGTTCCATCCTCATTGGTTCCTTAGAACCTTCCCTAACATCCCTAGGGATCTCTCTAACGTCCCTAGGATTGTCCCCTTCGTAGGAGAATTGTCTCTGAGGTTTCTCTGGTCCAGGGGAGAGTGGAGATATTGTTTGACGTGGGTAGTGGGCCGAGGCCGGTCTTTCACGGAGCTGCTGTCCTCCGGTCAAACTGGTTTGGGATCCAAACCTGTTTCTTGAGGCCGGAGGCACCAGATTCTGATAATATCCTGGATCAGTATCAGGCCCTACAGCTGGAGGTTTAGGAGGAGCTAGATTCTGTATAGACGAGGATCTAACTCCTCCAGGTGGTCTGTAGGGGAGTTGTTGATGCAACCACTCCTGGTTCTGATAGTTGTGCTGGGAGTCCCCGCCTGGGCTCTGGTGAAGAGCTGGAGTACTTTTTGACTGGGGGATCCGATTTCCAGGTCCTGGAAGAGTATTTACCGAACCTGGTCTTATTTCTTTCTCACTGGTCCTTCGTGGCCCAGTGTTGTACTGACGACCCATTACTGGACTAGGCTGAGATAGAAGAGTTCCAAGTCCATGAAATATGGCTCCCTGCCTTGCCACCTCAAGAGTTACCACAGGTCCAGTTCTCATCATTATTTCTGCTGCTCTCTCCTGCGTTATTCCCACTAAACTCTGACCATCTACAGTGAGTAGCTGATCTCCAGCAGCTAATCGACCATCTTGCCAAGCTGCTCCACCTTCTACAACAGCTTTTATATAGATTCCTAGCCGCTCCTGTCCAACACCCTTGGCAGCTACTATAGATAGACCCATACCATTTGTCTTAGAGAGACGTATTGTCTCTATTTCTGGTTCTTCTGCTAGAGTTTGAGGGGAAACTTTTCCAGGATACCCCATTCCAATTGGACCATTATTGGGATTACTGTGGGCGGTGATAGGTCCATTGGAAGTCATTATGGGACCATTTTGGCCCATAAAGCCGGGCTGGCCAGGAACAGGGACCGGATACCCATTGGGTCCAATCACTTGACTGTTCCTATTCGACATTGGACCATTAGGAACTGTTGGGCCATTGTATCCAGTTTGAGAACCATTTGGTGGATATCCATTATGTCCATTTTGAGAACCCGGATGTGGACTGGGCCCATCAAACTCTCCATTAATTGTAATCTGGGACATTTCACTTGGGCTTCTAGTCGCTAGAGGAGGCAGGTTATCCATGTATATTGTCCAAAGTCCACTACTGGTGGGCTGTGGGGTCATAGCGCAGAGACCAGCATTCTGGAGAGGTTGAAGGAACTCAATAAGGCCACCTGGAACACCACGAACAATATCGCAACTGTAGTTATCCTCAGGAAGCAGGAATGGCAACTGAAGGACGAAATCCTCCTCCAGGCGAACCTGTCGTCCTTCAGCTCTGGTCAGTTCGTCAACTGTATTCTCAGCAACACGGACAATAGTATCAATTAGCTCATTACTGATAGGAGCCTCATTTTCAGCAGGCTTGTATTGAAGTAGGAGAGCCTTTAGTTGCTGACTGTTCAGCTTAAAACAGGTTGAGGAAAGTGTAGCAATATCTTCTGCAGTTCCTTTACGCGCCTGAAGCAGGTGCGCAGTCTGCATGATGCGCGCAAGATGGCAATCAGCAGCGAGTTCAAGACCTTGCTTCTCAGCCCATATTTCGACCCGAGCAAGCCGTCGTTTCAGCCTCAATCCCCACTTATGAGTACAGTATCCGTTCTGGTTCTGGTCTGTTACGATGATATTAAAGGTCCACATGTTTACAAAATGGAAGAGCTGAGAGAACAGTTGAATGGTGAGTGCGGCATTCACGCGGCACTTTCTGAGAAGACCCATTGCAGAGGCAAATACGGAGATTACTCCAGCAGTTGAACTCTCAACATCATCATCCCTTATAATGAAGTAGATTAACATACGTTTCATTTATCAATAAAAATGTGACGCTTTTTTAAAATTCACAGTCTGGGATAGCCACAACTGATGAGACAATGTAAAGTATAATCTTTTGTAGATAACAACCGGTTTTAAAAGTAATGGGAAATCTCACGACTCGTTTTCGGACTTTTAAAAGGTTCCAAAAAATCGAAAAAGTTAAAAATATTTAAAATTTAGTATTTAAAGTTTTTTTTATTCGTGTATTAAGCCAAATTTTGACACTAAGAGAAAATATATCCAGAAACGAATCAAAAACTATCGTTTTTCTCTAAGGATAAAAATATTGCAAAAAACAAAAGAAAAGATAAGATAAGATAGGATCTGAAACCCCCCTCCCCCATCTTGGTTAGCCCAGACCGCCATCGGGGCTAACTTCCTATGTTTTAAAATGTTGTAAGTTTTATTACAATAAAAAAACAAATAAAGTTCTGTCTCATTATTTGTAGATAAAATTACCTGTCGGATAACAACCCAGGGAGGACTAACTCTAGATCTGCTTGGAGAGCTATGACAAGTTGTTTGAACGCCATGTGTACTGCATCAGCTAACATATCCTGGGCCTAAAATATTTCATTGTGTTCAAAGTTTTTATGTATGAGAAGTTAAATCTGCAAACCCTACCGACATGGAGAGCCCAGACCCCCATCGGAACTAATTATTCAAAGTTTATTCAATGAAAGATTAAACTTTGATAGACCTTGAGACAATCTCAATAAGATATTAATCTTTAACTCAAGGAAATCTAAAACTTGCTGAAAACTAGTTCAACATTACAAATTCTAAAATGTTGAAAGACAATGAATTAATCTTATATTTGCAGCTGAAGGAATTCAGTCTAATGCAAAAAACTCTAATTTACTAATCTCTATATCTTTGCAACCAAATGTCACGGACCTTAAATATCTCAATCGATGAATTTTGTTAGATCTAATAAATCATATTTGAAATATCGAAGGTTTGCACTGCTAGGTTGTAATGGTAAAGGGATTAGAAAATGTGACTAGAAAGACTCAATTCCTAGGCTCGTAAATGGAAGTACCTGTAAACTAAAGGCAGTAATATGTCGGTCTGATTTAAGAAAATGTAGAAGCTCGCTTGAATTTGCCATCCAGAAGGAGAGGGTGGGGGCATGGTTAGCCCCAGGGGCTGTAGCAAGGAGGCGGAGTATTTTGTCCGCCACTCTATTTAGCATATCAGTGAGACGAACTGCTCTCTCTTCAGGAACTAGTTCAGGTCTGTAGTGTGTAGATGCACGAAAGCGTGTCGCCATGTAGAGGGTGTAGGTTGGTGCAAGCTTGAAGTTCACACTAGCCGGATCAAGGTTCATCGTGAGCGCGTTGAAGAAAGCACTTTCAGTGTCCTCACGAAACTCGAGCACAGCGGGTAAAATAGCATCTTTACCCCGGTGTAACGGCGGGTACTGAGCATAGTTGGCGGTGGAATTACGCATACCAGCCTGGAAATCGTTACCACCAGGGAGAGTGGCGGTACTTCCATGATGGGAGGGTTGCATTCGTCCACCATCTGCCACTGGGTCGATAAATCTCCAAACACTTCGTCCAAACCTCAGTGTGGCTCCATGTTGAAGAATTGTTGTCTCTACAACACGTTGTTGATTAACAACAACCTCAGCAGCTGGACTACAGGGTGTAACAGTTACCACTCCCTCGGTGTGAGCTATCACACAATGACGGGGTAGAAGACCCTGTAGTTCTACACCTCCGCCTCCAACCTCACTTCCAACCTCGGTAACATTCATCTGAAGGCGGACAACTCGATTTTCTCCGCCCTCAGGTGTCAACTCAACAAGAAACGGCAGTCCACCGTCAAGCTGTCCAATAGAGGAAGTTTTCTTTTTCCGTCTCCGGCCGTCCATTGGTCTTCTACGGACGTGGAAAGTAATTGCCCCTCTGACGGACTGATGATTCATGAGGATGGCTAACGGACACTCGTCGTCCTCTAACACACACTCTCTGGTTGTCCCACCTCCTACAACACGTCCCATTCCTCCATCTTCTGGCATTGTTAGATTCGACTGTATGAGACAGTATTGACCAGCATCACCTCAACAAACAAATAGTTTTTATTCAATTTTTAAATTTCTAAAGAGAATGTAAGCGTAATTTCAAAGGACCATCCATGCAAAGATGGCAATGCCCGTTTCAAAACGGTAACCTTGAAACCGTTAGCTGACTAATAATGTGAAAGATTTTGTCCTTTTTCAAGGTTTACTCGTGTTAAATCTGACAATTCCTTATGTTTTCCTGCAGTAGAAATGCGCAAGTGACTTTTGTAGATAACCCACAATTAGAATTGATCAGTTTTCAAAATTTTAAACATTGATATCTAATTCATACTTGTTCAGACAAAGCTTTCAAGGGTACCGTTGTGAATCGGGCAATGCCATATTTGCATGGAGGGTCACTTGAAATTACGCTCACAGTCCATTTAAGAGAAAAAATTAATACTTTAGAAGCCTAATGTCGTCTTCCTTATAGAAAGAAAATGCGGGAAGCAGTAAATATAAATCTGGGAAACTCAGTAATTCTTAATTCTTGACATGAAGAGATTATCAAGTGGCAAGCCAAACCACTTAAGTATAATAAAGAATCTAATATAAGTGTAAATGATAAGGATGTGTACTGTATTCGTTTGAGAATTAAAATGATCGTGTTGGTAGATTTCATTCTTGATAAGGAAGACGACATTGACCCAGTTACAAAATTTATTTTTACCTTTATTTATTCCATATTTTTCCAACATTTCTAGAACCACCATTGCAGCGGTATCACGGATAGAGAGAAGAAGGGTCTTATAGGGAACATCCTGGACAAAAAAATATTAATTAATCTTAATTCAATTATTTAATTGATAAATTAAATTGAAGAATTTAATCCAAAAGACATAATTTAATTTCTCAAAACCTTTAATGAAAATTAAACATCACTTTAAATCTCAAATATAAATATACATTATACATGAACATTTTTTAAGTCAGAGTCAATGTTTTATTTGTGAAGGAAAAATGATATAAAAGTTTTTTTTTAAAAACAAAGTTAAGGTAAAGGACGCTAAAAACTATGTATAGTTGGATAATTAAGCTATAGTTCATTGCAACCTTATTTTTATTTGATGGTATTTTCATCCTTTAAGGGCAACCCTGTATATAAACCCCTTGAAGTAGATTTATTGCTTAAATATAAACACATAAATATAAAATAACGAGTGTATTTAAGGAGAAGAAGATGAGTGGGTCTTCTCTATTTCCAGAATTGATATGAGAATTTTAAAATCATATTTTTATTCTCTGCAACCCCTAGATTAGTAAAAGTAGAGTTAGTACCTTACACAATGCGTCACCATATATCTTGAGTGTACCACCAGTATCAGGTCCTCCATCCTAGGTAATTACAGGGGTAAATTTTTTATTTAAACCCCATTTTTTCCATTTTTCACCCCCTCAGATATTATGTTAGGTTGCGCTGAAATGATTTTTAGTTTAAAATAAATTTTAGGTAAAATGTATCAAAGTAGAAACGAACAAACTTGCCTTTATGTCCAAGTTTTCAATTTGTCCACCAAAATTCACTCCCCCCCCCTCACGTCCCAAGTCTCAAAATTATAAAAAAATAATACAAACATTTATTCTATCTTTCTTGGAATAATTGTCATTTTTCATCTTACTTTATTTCTTCTTGAATTATAAAAATCGAAAAAATTCAAGAATTCGCAATATTTTCATTTTTTTTGGGCGAATTTCCAAAAGAATACAAATATTTTAAAGTTCTGAATCTGACCGGCTATGAAATTTTCCTGGGGCCATTTTAGTTGTCGCACAAAAATTCGGTTAAATCGGTTCACAAAAAAAGTCAACAAAGTTGTATCACAATTACAGAATAAATAAAAATGATACTAGTGGGACACACTGTATAACCCTACTGTCTTGTATCTTAATTAATACCATAGTTAAACGAGAAATCTTGCTATCTTATAACTTTCCTTAAATGAGAACTTGTAAATCTGAAGTTAGAAACTCCATTATCTCAGATCTCAAGATATTGATATAAACATCAAACTTAACTTTCTGAGCTGTGCGCCCTTTCTGCTTTAATTATATTGAACATTATGCCCCTTGGGTTGATATAACAGCATATTTTATCTTCTGGGTTAATTAAACGAAACATAATGTTTTAATGGAACATTATGTCCCCTGGTATGGTTGATTTTAACATTATGTCCCAAGGAATGGTTGATTTAAACATGATGTCCCCTAGATTGGTTGATTTAAACATTATATCCCCTGGAATGATTGATTTTAATATTATGCACCCCATGGAATAGTATGCTTCGAAATCTTAAAACTGAACATTATGCCCCCTGAAATTTTAAACTGAACACAATGCCCCCTGAAATCTTAGAACTGAACATTTTGCCCCCTGAAATCTTAAACTGAACATTATGCCCCCTGAAATCTAAAACTGAACATTATGCCCCCCTGAAATCTTAAAACTGAACATTTTGCCCCCTGAAATCATAAAACTAAAGATTATGCCCCCTAAAATCTTAAAACTGAAATTTTTGCCCCCTGAAATCTTAAACTGGACATTATGCCCCCTTAAATCTTAACACTGAACATTTTGCACCCTGAAATCTTAAAACTGAACATTATGCCCCCTGAAATCTTAAACTAAACATAATGCCCCCTGAAAACTTAAAACTGAACATTTTGCCCCTGAAATCTTAAAACTGAACATTTTGCACCCTGAAATCTTAAAACTGAACATTATGCCCCCTGAAATCTTAAACTAAACATAATGCCCCCTGAAATCTTAAAACTGAACATTTTGCCTCCTGAAATCTTAAAACTGGACATTATTACCCTCTGAAATCTTAAAACTGAACATTTTGCACCCTGAACTCGTAAAACTAAACATAATGCCCCCTGAAATCTTAGAACTGAACATTTTGCCCCCTGAAATCTTAAAACTGGACATTATTACCCTCTGAAATCTTAAAACTGAACATTTTGCCCCCTGAAATCTTAAACTGAACATTATGCCCCCTGAACTCGTAAAACTAAACATAATGCCCCCTGAAATCTAAAAACTGAACATTTTACCCCCTGAAATCTTAAAACTGAATATTATGCCCCCTGAAATCTTAAAACTGAACATTTTGCACCCTGAAATCTTAAAACTGAACATTATGCCCCCTGAAATCTTAAAACTGAACATTATGCCCAAATCTTAAAACTGAACACTATGCCACCTGAAATTTTAAACTGAACAAACAGCCCCCTGAAATCTTAAACTGAACATTATGCCCCCTGAAATCTTAAACTGGACATTATTACCCTCTGAAATCTTAAACTGAACATTATGCCTCCCGAAATCATAAAAGTGAACATTATGCCACCTGAAATCTTAAAACTAAACATTATGCCCTCCAAAATCTTAAAAATGAATATTATGCCACCTGAAATCTTAAAACTAAACATTATGCCCCCAAAATCTTAAAACTGAACATTATGGCCCCCGAAATCTTAAAACTGAACATTATGGCCCCCGAAATCTTAAACTGAACATTATGGCCTCCGAAATCTTAAAACTGAACATTATGGCCCCCGAAATGTTAGAACTGAACATTATGGCCCCCGAAATCTTAAAAGTCAACATTATGCCACCTGAAATCTTAAAACTGAACATTATGCCCCTTAAAATCTAATACTGAACATTGTGCCCCCTGAAATCTTAAAATTGAACATTATGCCCCCTGAAATCTTAAATTGAACATTATACCTCCTGGAATGTTTAACCCGAACATTATTCCTCATGGAATAAATAACTGGTAAGTACACCCCCTGAGATGATTAATTCACTATTTTGTCTCTCTGGGATGATTAATAAACTAAACATTATGCCTCCCTAGGATGTTTAAACTGAAAATTATGCCACCCTGAGATAAAACTACCTTAGATCTGAACTGTTGAAGTTTCTTCTCTAGCTTCTGTTGTCGCCTTCGTCTCATTACAGCTTCAGGGTTGGATATACTTCGCGTAAAACTTGTGTCAGGCAATTCTAAAATAAATATATTAAGATAGCAAAATAGACAAGTTTATAAAATGTATTTTCTCAATTATCAAATATGGCTGTCTCAAAAGGCGTAAAACGATAAAAATATGAAAAACTTATCAAACCGGGTTGAATTTCCAAATTTAAATCAATTTATAGAATTAAAAAATTTTAAAAAATGACCGACTACTTGTTCCAATGTTTAAGCTAGGATAAAAAGAAATATGCCTGAAGAGTTAATATATTGTGGAGGTGTAATGGAACTATCAATTCCTCCCGGGTATCTACGAATCCTTATCAGAGGAAAAACTCTAGTCAAGGGAATATATTCACTACATTCCCCCCCCCACCCCCCTCCCGGAAACACATTAAACAACAACAGTTGAGCTTCTGAGATGCTGAGATTTTTGTTTTAATTTATGAAAAATGTTAAGAACAAGATTTTTGTAATTACACACAAAGTAAATGATTTTTTCATAAATAAAATTTTCAATAACCTTTTATTATGTAAATGTTAAGAAATATTTTTTAAAGTTTAATTTACTCGTTTTACTACTGCAATTTTTTTTCGGTTTTTAGGACACTCAAAGGAATAATAAAGGCCAAGAGGAAAAAAAATTGGCAGTTCAGGATAAGTTTAAAGATTTTTTTTTTACAGCTAAGGTTAGGTAAAAAATACGTTAAGAAAATGAGACTAGACGGAAATGTAAATCTTAGATTGGTCACAATCACCCGACATTTTTTTAAATCTTACCAAATTTAATAGTTTAAATTTCTGGAACAAACTAGATCAATATATCAGCTCTCCAATTGAAATCATACTAAACGTTTACATCTACATCTTTCACCTGTTATTTTAATTATTACGGCATCTATTGGGAATATGTAAAAAAATATTCTAAATTATTTTTACGCCATCTTTGTAATTCATTGAAAAAAAATATTTAGCAGATTAATATTTTCCAGCATCTCAAGACTTTTTTTTGTAAAAAATGACATTTTTTATTGTTATAGATTTTAACTTTTTTGTACTTAGTCCGCTCTACGCAATACTCAAGGGCAGAAACATAATAGAGGGAGGAGGTTGTTTAATTTTCCAGATGATGGAGGAGGGCGTGGGGGGGAAGGGGTGCAAGATACCTAGATTAGGGGAGGGATTGAATGCTGGCAGCAAGAAAAATGCAAAATATTTAAAAATTATTTCATTGAAGGAAAATAAGTTATTAGGATTAATACAAGTCTACACTTTAAATTCGTTTTTTTCTTTTGTACTTTTACTGGCTTAAAATGGCTTCATGTCTATACACAATAGAGACAATTTTGAGCAGAGATTCGACAATAAATTGATTTTCAGAAACCTCTTGAGAAAGGAATTTACCAAGACCTGTTAAAAAAATGTTATCAATCATAAAAAAATGAGAAGAATCTTTTATTAGGACATTTCAAAATTAGAAAAACTTTTCAATTTCACTCTGAGTCTCAAAATCAAAATCTTAAAAGTTCAAAAAAATATAATATATTTTATCAGCATCAAAAATGAAAAGAATAAATCTTCTTTATATTCTCTAAAGTGAAAAGGAAAAAACTTATTCTCTTAAATGAAAAGAATAAAACTTCTTTATATTCTCTAAAAAGAAAAGAAAAAACTTCTTTATATTCTCTAAAAAGAAAAGAAAAAAACTTCTTTATATTCTCTAAAAAGAAAAGAAAAAACTTCTTTATATTCTCTAAAAAGAAAAGGAAAAACCTTCTTTATATTCTCTAAAGTGAAAAGGAAAAAACTTCATTATATTCGCTAAAATGAAAAGGAAAAACCTTCTTTATATTCTCTAAAATGAAAAGGAAAAAACTTCTTTATATTCTCTAAAATAAAAAGGAATACCTTCTTTATATTCTCTAAAATGAAAAGGAAAAAACTTCTTTATATTCTCTAAAATGAAAAGGAAAAACTTCTTAATAATCTCTAAAATGAAAATGAAAAAACTTCTTTATATTCTCTAAAATGAAAAGGAAAAAATTTTTATATATTCTATAAAAAATAAAAGAAAAGAAAAATGAGAAACTTCTTTACATTTTCTAAAATGAAAAGGAAAAAACTTCTTTATATTCTCTAAAATATAAAAAGACATGGATACAAATTCAGGAATGAGATGTTTTCAATTCTATTTTCAAACGTCAAAAATTGAAATTATATAAGAAAGGACTAAGAGGGGAATTATAGAGAATGAAAGGTAAAATGAAGGAAGAATTAAAGGTATGAACTGGAAAATAAAGAATAGAATAGAAAGTAAACCTGTAAGTAAAAAGAGGAAGGAAAGAAGAGAGAAAGGATAAGAAAGAAGAAAGAGAAAGGAAACAGAAAGTGAAACAGGCAAAACAGAATTTTAATGTTGAAGAAAAAAGGAAAGTATTAAGAAGGAAGGAAGGAAGGAAAGTATTAAAAAGGAAGGAAGGAAGGAAAGTATTAAGAAGGAAGGAAGGAAGGAAGGAAAGTATTAAGAAGGAAGGAAGGAAGAAAAGTATTAAGAAGGAAGGACGGAAGGAAAGGAAGCGGAGAGGTAAGAAAAGGGGTGAAAATTCAAATTTTGCTGAATTATGAAAACTTTATGATGTCACGCTAATAAATTTTATTATTTTATCAAATATTTCGCGCTCTAATAACACGGCCGGCAGGAGTGGGACCATTTTGATTTACTTTTCTGTGTTGATACAGTGGTAAACAGAACACAATGGAGTTCTAGGCGTCTTTGCTCTTTTTTTATAATGACGTCAGTATAGATGTGGAAATTTGTATTTGTTCTTTAAAATGTAACACTTTGTTTAAGAAATTAGTTACAAACTTTAAAATTGGCGACATTTCGTAGTTAACAATTAAAAGATGACAACTTCTATTCCACTGTTTTCTGGTTATCTGGTAACCAGAATCATAAGAGGTGGTAACCAGAATCATAAGAATGCAATTAAGATGTGTAACGACAGTTCAAAATATAAAAAATGGCAGTTAAGTGAGTAAAATCAAAGCTTGAAACCACGGATATTTTCAATTCCTCTTTTTCATCCCTTAAACCTTGTAATACCCCCCNCTCTTGAAGTTAACCCTCCAGAACCAACTACATGGTTTGCGTGTCTCCAAGTAACAAAGGACAAAAGAGAAACTAAATTTAACTGTTTTCTGCTTAATTAGTAAATATCAGTGCAAAGGATCCATTCCATTTTAAATCGGATCTGTCTTGATTAGCAAAATGTTACGGATCCAGCATATCCTGATCCTAAGTGCGGGTAAATTATAATACTGTCTGTAGTTTTAACGAACGGTAAACGACTACACAGAATAAAATGGTTGCTCAAATTTAAAGTCAGTGTGGTACCTTCTATTACTTTGCTTATCTGTCTGGGTGGGTGTTGGTTTGTGTCCAATAAACGTCAAAACGACAGAACCGAATGGGCCCAATTTTTTGTGGGAACTCACGTGACACCAGAGAAGGTTTATGGATGATCGAATTTTCAAAAAATTTCAAAATTTTGATTAAGAAACTTGGAAGATTTTCTTCAGCTTGGTTTTAAAATCTAGGTTCGAAGGTCGTCTTTCAATCTACACCGACTAAAACTTTTAGATTTTCCGCAAAGCTGGGTGCCCAAGCTTGGGTACAAATATATTTGTAAATACGGTGCTAACCAGGAAACTCTGAAATAGGAAGACGACTTTAAGAATCAAGTTATAACTTTAAAAAGTCTAATGAGCATGAGACACAGCCCTTGCAGTGCTGTGTAAACAGAACCATTTCACTAAATTAGTTAATAAATGTGTAGTAAAACTATTTGCTTTGTAATAACATCAAATATAATTGAGTGTTGCTATAATGTCGTCTTCCTATTTCAAAGTTTCCTGGTTATCACTGTAATAACATATGTTATGCAACTGCTGTGTGTTATAACAGGATATATATTTATTATTTAGGTTTTGTTTGCTTGAGGATTAATTTTCATAGATTTAAACCGAAAAAGAAAGAAAATAAGAGTTGAAATAAAATGGTTGTATACGTAATTTAAATCCTGTTGTGTTAAATTACTTATCAACAATTTTAATTTTCCTATATCTTTGCAACCTGTAAACTAAAACTTTAATTCTGCCGGATCAAGTAGTCAAAGTTCTAAATATACCTGTATAGAGTTTATCTGCCATACTCTCATCCTTCCCCCCGCCATCTTTATCCTTCTTCTCCTTCTTCTCCTGCTTCTTAATCGCCTTCTTCTCCCTCTTCGAGAGTTTCCTCTTGAAGGAAGAATCCTCCTGGGTGGGCTGGGGCATCTGGCTGGCTTCGTCGATTCGTCTACAAAAATTTTAACATAAAAATTATGTAATACTAGATTTCCTCGCGCCCTGCTTGTTTAACCCTATTAGGTGCTNGATATAGATGTAGGTTTTTTTTACATAACACAAAAAGTATTGGTCGGAGGTTGCTTTAAAAACTGATAATTTTCGAATGTTGTTTCTCAACCATATGGCATTTCCACTGAAGGTAAAAATATATGAATTATCAGAATTAAACACTTTTAAACTTAGAAAAACGACAATATCTTCCTAATTATTTATTTGATAAAGGTTTAAAGGGTACCGGCTTGAATCTGGAATTGCTATCTTTGCATGGAGGGTCACTTGAAATTACGCTCACAGTCCCTTTGAGTTAAAAATTTCCTACTCATGTTATCCTAAAAATTACCTGAGTAAAAATCGTCCCTCTCTATCGTCCTTGTGCCAATTCAGCTGAACCAACAGGGGTTTCTCGTCCAATCCCAATCGTCTCTCGCCTATAAGGAGGAAAGTAAATTTTCAGACAAAAACAACCAATTAATTTAATTGGTTTTCCTTCCTTTTCTATTTATACCAAACTAGTTTAAAATTGTAAAAATATAAATTCACAATGGTTGATTATATAAAAATTAATTATATTTACAACGTTAGCCCTCAAACTGAAACTGTTTTAAATAAATAAATATTTAGATTATAGATTTAATTGGCATGTGATAAAAAAGCTAGATCAGAAATTAAATGTTGTTGACAATTTGACAATATGCAACTTTTCTAAATTTTCGTTAAAGTACAGGGGGGGGGGGGTTAGATGATAAAAGCGGAATGTTTACTTTATTACTAAGTCTCCAAATATCTATATAATAATTATCAAAGAAAATATTTCTTGTTTTACTAATATTAATTAATCAAAATAAAAATGTAGAAAAAGAATGATCAGATGTTCTTAATATATACATTTTACGCATGTTTCAAAGGATGGTTCACTAAATTTAGAACCCACCTTTAAATGATATATAATGTAACCTCAATAGGGATTTGAGGAATTTTTAAAAAGAAAACCTAGTAAATCTCGCAAAAAGTGAACCATTTTATTCAGCCGATGTTTTGTTTTATGATTTTTTTCTCCTATCAATCATATCTTTAAATTAGATTTAACAAAAGAAATCAAAGTTCATCAAGATCATTGAACTTTTTTTTTCTAAAAGTTTAATAAGAACTATTCAGCAATACGGGAACTCTTCTCTCAGGGGCGCAGTCCCCCCCCCTTCACCGTTGAGAAAACTGTAATAAACATGTCAATATCAGACAAATATTTTTTTTTCTCTCACAAACATTGGATATTAAAAAAATGTCCTAGATTTGGGTTATTATTATTTAAATTGCTTTGAAAGACTGCCTTCTAGGTTCTAAAAAGAGTTATCATTATTTTTCGCCTGATATTAACAACTTTTTTTGTAAAAGATGCAAAAAAAAAACGGCGAGTAATGAAGGTATATCGTTATAAATAAACACGATAAATATTAAGTATCTCCTAGGCTCAGTGCTTTTCCATGGTTTAGCGGAGAAAACCCGAGGGCTGTATATTTTTTCGAATTACCACCCTCCCCCTGAAATATGAAAAATTGAATCATTTTTTTTATTTTTTGATACATTTACCTAAAACTTTAATGATTTTTCCCAACTCAGCGAATGAATCCCTACAAAAAAATGTTCTTCTGGGGAAAAAATATAATTTTTAAACTGGGGAGGGGGAGATTATTTTTAAAGAAAATATACACCCCTGGAAAAACCTTAATAAATATTTTACTACAATGGTCTTTTATGTAGATATGACAGCTTTCACACCGTACACAACATGAACCGGGAAAATTTCATGCATGGGCCTGAAATCTTACATATTAGCGACCATAACTATGTTTTTAAGAGTTGTTGAGAAGCATAAAAAGTTTTGAATTAATTTGTACTCTTTCTTGTGGGTAAAATAAAATAAAATAAATAAAATAAAAATAAAATAAAAATGCTTTTCTTTTGAAGTCCAATTTTCAAAACTTAACGTTTTATCTCTTTCAACAAGAATTCACAAGAAAATAAAAGTTTTAAAACTTTGCTTGGATTCGTGAAAACTATTGAAAAACAAGAAATTTTAATTTGAAAATTTTAATCCTAGTTCTTTGAGATTTCAGTTCATATCTGTAGTCCACACTATTGTACAGCTATTTACTACAGCTACATATTTACTAGCTATGGCTTAAGAAACTCATGGGTGACAAAGGTTAAAAAATATTTTTTTTAATTCAGAAATTAAATTTTTTTTCAATTTTTTTTTTTCAATTTCTCGGACAACGCCGGCCACTTTAGGCTAGTTCATCATAATACTGAACAATCCTTACGTCAAATGAAGGGGGGGGGGAGGGGGGCTGACCTGACTCGTGTATTTCGTAAAGAGCATACTCTGGCATCTCCAGCATTTTCATATCTGGTCGAAATTTCTCAATCAATGTCTCAATGATCGACTTTGTTGTCGCAGTACTCGACACACGAATACATTTAGTCGCAACCTAGGAAAAATAAAGTTTATTTACATCTGTTTCAACGACATAAAAATAGGTGGGAAATTTCGTTTTTCGTTAAAATCAGAAAGCCTAAAAAAATCAAAAAGAATATTTAAAGTTAAAAAACATCTAAAAACTAGCCCGTGGTAAGGCTTTACCGAATAAAAATATATTTCTAATAATATCTTATTATCTAATCAATGATTATAATTTTTCAAAAAGTTGCAGATCTAGTATAATTTATGTTTCATAACTTGTGTCTTCGCTAGTGATGAACCTTTTACAACTTTTAATTAAGGCTTTTTGACTTTTAAAAGTCGCCGCAAAAATATAGAAAGTTTTACAATATCCCAAATTATTAGGACGGATTAGGATTTGTATCCGTGACAAAATGCCATGCATGCACATTGCACTGTCTATAGTATGTACATTGTACATTGTACAATTACATTGCGTTGTCTAGAGTAATTATCCACAAAGGATGAGACTGTAAAGACGACCTGAATCTCGTGTATTGTGATCCCAAGGTTAAATTTAATCTGCTGTCTTAAATTTATTCTTTTAATGGCTTATGTAATTATTTGCCAAAGAAAGGAGTTTACAGATGCATAGAATCAGGAATATGAGGAAACAGGCCCAGGCGTCTCATCCGTTGGTGATAATCCGAGACCGAATTTAAAGAATTTGAGCCGCGGCTCAAACATGGTTGGTTCCACTTGAAATGATTTTCAGTGTTTCGAATTTTGAGCCGGAGCTCAATTGGAACCGGTTTTTGACGGTTCAGCGACGGGGTTTAAATTAATTAAATGTTCAGCCTCCGGTTCAAACAAAATTACCTTTTGTCCTGAAGCTAGATCCTGAGCTTGGTAATAGAATCTCATCACTCCATTAAACTCCAACTCCTGAAATATCACAATTAGAATTTAAAAAAAGACCGAGTAAAATACCCCTTGTTGCCCGTTATCTTAAAATCGGCCAATCTCGTCAAAATCTACCAAAATGTCCCTATAACAGGTTTGTTGTTTAAACTCATACAACTTTGAAAATACGAAAAAACATGAACGGTATTTGTCGCTTCTAAGCACATCTTCTGATATGTCATATCAACATGTAAACATAAAATTGAAAAATAAAAGGAATTGATTCTTTTCCGCAAACTATGATTTTCTTATATCAGGCTGCAAAAATATAGGAATTAGAAAATTTGAAAAGCCAATACACATTACACACAGTGGAAACTCCACCAGTCTGAGGATTAAAAAGAAGGAAACTGAATGAAAGAATGAATGAACTAGACTGAAAAATATAAAATATGTAAAACAAGTACATATATTCACTATAATAAGTCTCTTTGCTCATATATTTATTAGCTATGGCTAACCAAACGGCTGAACCGAACTGGCTGATTTTTCCCCAGCAACTCATGGGTGACTCAATTCTTCATGATTTTTAAATTCGTTGATTAATGTTTTTTTTCATAAATTTTCAACAGGTGGATAGAGGTGGGGGGAGGGGGATACTCATTTTTACACAAAGGTCACTACCCGCCGTTTACAGCAAACTTTTAACAACAAAAATAATTCCCCATTTTTTCTTTATATTTTTTAATTATTTGCTCTGCAGCACTGATGAATAAGTAAGATGACGTAGATTATGACGCATATTGACCCCTGAACTAGACCCTAGACAGGTTCTGGGAAAGCTTTACAACTTACGCGCGTACCTCCATATCAAGCGCAGAGTGCAACATTATTCCCAGGCCTCCCCCCCTGACTCTCGGAATATAAATGAGTCATGATTGTTCATGATGGGTCATGATTCAGGCAAAAACATGCAAAGAATTATAACAGGCTTAACCATGACTATGTTTAATTGGGTGGTAAAAGGGGGGCCCCCTGTAATTTAAGGTAAAATAAGTGTTTTTTGACCGTGTAGAAGGGGTTTGCCCACACAGTTTACCCTGTGTGCCCCCCCCCCAGGAAACATACTAACCGACTATATTTCCGATGGCGAAAAAAGGATCGAGTAAATAATACGGGTTTCGTTAAAAGGGCATTTTTTCGGGGGGGGGGGGGGTCACTTTTGGTATTAATATATTAATTAACTTACTTTTTAATTGTAATCTCCAATTTTTCTACTATTTTTTCTGTTCCTATACTTATTTAGGCAGTAAGCAATGATTATTAAAAATCGTTTTTAATTTTCACAATATTATTTGAGTTCTGTCTATCTGTCTATTTGTATTTCTAACTGTTTGGGGAATAAACTAATGGTATTCAAAGCACAATTTCTTCTATACAGAATATACACTATTCACTATACTCACATTACATTACACAAAATACAGTTTTTACAATCATTTTTCAACCCAACATTATTAACGCTAAGATTAAAAAAGCTACTCTTTATTAAGATTTGACTAATTTTGAACAAAAATAGAATGAGAAAAAATAAAAATCTATGTCATATTTCGTTTTTGTTTTTATTCTTTAAATTTGAATGAATTTAAAAACTTGAGAGCGTTTAATAAAATATGAATAATATACGAACTTCTCAATGTTTATTACGATTTATACCGTTCGACAACAATCAGTCCTTGACGGTAGCTTATCGTTCTTAAAGCATCTTATTGTAAACATTACATTGGTCGATTGTTATGAAAATCTTGTTCTCAAATTTAACGAACGCTATCATTTTCCACAAACGAAGCACAAGCCTTGTATGTACACTACTTTCTCAAAAATTAACTGTACAGCTGACAATACACAGGGTTACCCGCACTGAATAAAACTGTAAAGACGACCGGAAACTCTTAAAATATGACGATCCTAAGGTTAAATTACGTATTTTGCCTTAGATATAGTTATCAAATGGCTTATTTAAAGAAAGAAGCAAGTTTGCAATCGCAGAGAATCGTGAATATAAGGAAACATAATATAATTCCATACAGTCGTCTCTGAAGTTTCCCCCCGTTGTGTGTAACCCTGTGCAAAGTGAACACACAGACACAAATATTCCAGATGATAACTTTGTATTCTTTACATACTATTATCATAAGCCAATATAGAACATAAATCAGGCATCAGACTAAATAAAGCTTTGAATCTTCAAAACATAAAGATTTTATGGCATTTTGTTTTGATTTTAAAACAAAACTTGCATCAAGAGGGGTTAGCATGTTATACAAGGATAATTAAAATACAAATTTTATGATGAAAAATAGAATTAAATGAAAGTTAACGATTGAACAAATTGTTGCAATTGTAAAGCCATCAGGCATGTATACATAGACACAAGGGAACAGGATCAACATAACCAAGGACTTTGTGCCCCCCCTCTTATATTTCTTAACCACCTCGCTTCTGTCTGACAAGGACTTAAACCGTATCTTCAAGTGACCCTACAGATGTCAATGCTCGATTTACAAAGGTACCCTTGAAAGCGTTGTCTAATCAAGTTTGAATGAGATATCCACGTTTTGTTCCTTTTAACCTTTTTATTTTCATTTACACATTTCTTGTTAGTGGAAAAGGCAATGAAGAAACTCACAGAAGGAAACGCGACGATATTACGTATATGATAAGATTACGATTAATCCGTTTTTGAAATTATAAACATTGATATCTAATTGTATATGATAAGATTACGATTAAGGGTACTGTTGTGAATGGGGCATTGTCACCGTTGCTTGGAGGGTCACAGGGGTGTCTACTGTATATGTATTTTAGAATTTTTGATGATTTGGGAGGGAAAAAAATAAATTGGAGATAAAAAGGCAAGTTTTTTTCCGTTCTTTTGGTTAGTTTCTGCCAAAAAATCACTTATTTATCTTAAAAATATTCATTTTTCCCAAATCAAAGAATGATCTCTTATTGTTACGTATATTACTTGTGGGGGGGGGGATGGGAAATTATATTCAAAAGGGGGAGTCCTTTTCCCCAAAAATGTACAGTGTACACCCCTGGGTTGCCAACGGATATGAGATGGAATATACTGAACCAAAACCATCATTGTTTATTTTCTTCTCAACCATTAGTATCATGTACAAACAAACATACCTAGAAAATAAGATAAAAATTCAAATTTTCAAATTAGAAAAAAAAACATTTAATTTGTAATATCTTATTTACCACAACCATTTCGAAATCTATATATATAAAGTTATAATCTCTGTTTGGCTGTTTGTTTGTCCGATCATAACTCTGGAACCCCTTTGCCGATTTGCCTCAAATTTAGATTTTGACACTAGGGAGACCCATAGGAATGTTCTAAACTTGGTTTTGAGATTCTAATTCTCTTAATATTTTCAAAATGGTCTCAATGCTTTTATATAGTACGAACGAAAGTTAGGATTTCTTCTGACTCATATTTACCAAGCCATCTCATAATAATTTAATATACACTATTATACAGCCCCATCATACTTTTCAAATGATAATTAATATAAAACGTTGATTTAGCAAAAATATTGTAATTTTAAATTTGTCATGCAGTTATGGAGTATATGGAGTACATCTTTAATTATGTTTT